TACCCTACCCAATCCCAAACCCTAAATCATTTATCATCTACCTCTCATTCTCTCCTCGTCTCTCTCTATCCTCTCCATTTTCTTTAGATCGCTGTCGCCCTTGAGGAGTTCCCGTCGCCGGAGAGTCGAGCAGTGGCTTCATCGCTGCTGTGCTGCCCCCTCGAGGAGCCCCCTCCTATGACCAACTCTCTCCCTCGTCTCTCTACGTCCGATGCTGTCAATAGTAGCGTCGCGATGCGACGATGACGTTAGCGGCAGCGTCGCGCGTCGCCGCTTTGAACGGAGTAGCGTCCCGCGAAGCTGGCGTTCGCGGGGTGTGTGCCTTTCGTGACTGTCGGCTGCCCTTTAGTGGGTGTGTCGTGTGTATGCTGTGAAAGGTAGCTGGCGGAGTGGATGTGGTGTTTAACTGCAGATGTAGTGTGCAGTGGGTTTAGATCTGGTTGGTGGTGGTGTTGGTAGTCTGTGGTTGAATGCTGCGGTGGTGGTGGTGCTGGTGTGTGTGTGTGTGTGTGTGTGTGCTGTGGGTGCGGTGGTATTGGCGGCATAGGTGTGTGGTTTTTGACAAGTCGTGGAGTGTGTGGTGGGTTGGTAGGTTCAGATCTAGTTTGATGGTAGTGCTGATAGTGGTGATGTTGTGTTCTTGGTGTTGTATTGTTATTGTTGGTGGTGGTGGTGGTGGTGGTGGTGGCAACGGGAAGAACAGTGTTTGTGATTTTGATTTTGTGATTACATATAATCTGTGACTTTAAAATTCGGTAATCTTTGACTAAAAATATAATCCGTGACCAACCAATTTTTTAATAGTGACCGAAAAATTATATAATATGTGACCAATTAATTTGGAAATCTATGACTGTGTGACCTATAAATTTTGATCTGTGACCAACTAATTTTGAAATCTGTAACCAACGAATTAATTGTGATCTATAAAATTTTTGAGTTGTTACCATAAATTGTAAATCTATGAACAGAATGGTCACCGGAATAATTGTCGGAATATGAACAGTCGTCGGAAGGGTCGTCGAAGTAGAGTGATGGTCAGAATAGTCCTCGGAACGGTATGGGGCGGTGCATGTGGGATGGGTTAATTATGTTATATTAGAATTAAATATTTGATAATAAATTGATTTAATAATTTATTATTTTATAAATAAATTTTTTTTAAAAAAATCTAATTTTTGAATTTTCAAACTATAAACCTGATTTTTGAATTGGTGTAAAGTATACACCTTATTTATGAATTTTTCCCTTTTGAAAAGTCAAATGAGCTTTTGAGACCCAAAAATTGTTTTTAGATCCGTTTGACTAATTTTATGAAAGCGTTTTTTGGTGGTTAAAAGAGCTTTTCGAGGAAGTCACTTTTAGAGGAAGCCGATCCAATGTGACTTCCTCTAAAAGCACTTCCAAAATAAGAAATGCTATTAAAAATTAGTTTCCAAACAAAAATTGAGGTAAGTTTCTCCAAAAAAAAAATTCTACAGAAAGCAAAAATCATGTCAAACGAACCCTAAAACTTTATGGACTACTTTTGAGTAGTGATTTGTAGAAAAAAAAGTTTGAAAATTATTGAATTATTAAGGAATAGGGCTCAGGGAATAAAATGTAGTATCGTTAGTCCACCAAAGAATTTGTTAGCCCTTGAAATAAGGAAAAAACTACTCATCCAGAACTATTCATAAACAGAGAGAAAAACAGATAAGAAAAATCCCTAAATTACCCTTTACATATAATTTGCAACCAGGAGTCACTATAAGTATATAAAACTTTCAATATAGACCCTAAAAATTTATGAGTGCAAA